AAAAAAATAATATAAAAATTATCTCTAAATTATTTTCTTAGCATATATCTTATCTTAACCAGCCGAATTACCTCGCAAATCTGATTAGATTTTGCCTTAGATTTTGTGAAGATTTTTAATTTTAATTTGAAAATTCTCAATATTTGGATTTTGAAGGTTATCACTTTATCAAGATAATGCTTTGAATGGTATATATTCTTACTTTGATTTTTCTTTTCAATTTGGTCAGAGGCTATTATGGATATTTGGCTTTATTGCCATAAAGGAAGAAAAATAAAATTACAACTCAGGAAGCAAGGTGAAAAACATATCCATAACAACTACCATCCTCTCTCTTTATCCTCTCCCCAGTTTAGTTCACTTAATTTTTTTAATAAAATCAAAATTTAATAATTAACTAATAATATTTTATATTTAACTCTAAATAAATATTTATATTGTAATATCCATAAACAACTACTTGTACAACATTTCAAATTAGAATTAAGTTAATTAAAATTGAACAATGAAATATTTTATTTTAAATATGACATACAAAGAATTAATCACAACTTTTATTTTTTTATATAATCGTAACATTTATTATGGAGTGTGTTGTTTACCATTTAAATTATATCAAATTGTATAATATACAAACAATTTATGGGCTTACATAATATAAATACGGAATGAGAGTCAGAGCAAGTGCCATAAAACACTAATTTTTTTTTGGTATTGAGCCGCTCGGAGATCATAAAAGAAAATCTCTTTCAATACTTATTTTTTTATTTATAATAATTAAACTTAATATCTTATTTTTTAAAAAATAAATTTTTTATTCGAATTAATAAATTGTCAGTTTCATAAAACACTAATATTTATATGAATTTGATAATCAAAACTTGTTAATTCAAGCATAAACCAAATCCTCCCTCACCAATGACTTATTGATTTGAGTGAAAAGAATTCGGTTCCCTTTAAGTAAAGTGTCGAGTTTGAGTTTTGTGAATGAAAAAACAGATGTTGGGAGAGCATACTCCCTAATAGAGTCCAACATGACTCGATTTTAGATTAATAAAGATCTAATATGATTATCTAATACTAAAAAGCTAATAAAAAAAAAATCAAATCCTCCCATAGTTTATTTTTATTAAATTTAAGTTTTTTATTTAATAAAATAAAGATATAATAATTTATTAATAAAATTTTATATTTATTTTTAATTAAATATTATTTAAATAA